AACTTAGCCATATGTCTTTAATCTCCGACAACATTGCCTGGTATCGAAAGTCTTTGTAATTGATTTTATCGTAAATGATGTGTTTTCTTATCTCAGCTCACAATCTCACCATGTTTTACTGTATAGTTGGGGTGTGTGTATATTCATTAAACATAAAAGTTATCAAAAGGTCTGTTTTCTTGTATAAGAACACTATATTCATTTAAGATGTGCAGATTAGCAGTAAACAGCTTCACTATTGTTGTCACTCAAGGCAAAAGTACGAGACCACCTCTTTACCAAATTTCTTTTGAAATGTGTATAAAAACAATTGAAGTTTTAACTATTGAATAAGGTTTATTTAAGGATTATATAATATTTCTTTTTATTTTAGATTTTAGAATTTATGTGCAAAACTAGACAGTCTAACCAATGAAGAGTCAGGGTATATCACAGACATGGCCACATTATAGCCACTGACAGAGCCAGAGTGTAGCAACTGACAGCCACATTGTAGCCACTGACAGAGCCACAGTGTAGCCACAGACACTGACAGAGCCACAGTGTAGCAACTGACAGCCATAGTGTAGCAATTGACAGCCACATTGTAGCCACTGACAGAGCCACAGTGCAGCAACTGACAGCCATAGTGTAGCAATTGACAGCCACATTGTAGCAAATAACAGCTATACTGAAGCAACTGGCATACATTTCTGCACTGACAGAGCCACAGTGTAGCCACAGATACTGACAGACACACATTGTAGCCACTGACAGAGCCACAGTGTAGCCACACACACTGACAGAGCCACTGACAGAGACACAGTGTAGCCACTGACAGAGACACAGTGTAGTTACTGACAGAGCCACTGTGTAGCCACTGACAGAGACACAGTGTAGCCACTGACAGAGACACAGTGTAGTTACTGACAGACACAGTGTAGTCACTGACAGACACAGTGTAGTCACTGACAGAGACACAGTGTAGTCACTGACAGAGACACAGTGTAGCCACTGACAGAGACACAGTGTAGTCACTGACAGAGACACAGTGTAGCCACTGACAGAGACACAGTGTAGTCACTGACAGACACAGTGTAGTCACTGACAGAGACACAGCGTAGTCACTGACAGACACAGTGTAGTCACTGACAGAGACACAGTGTAGCCACTGACAGAGACACAGTGTAGCCACTGACAGAGACACAGTGTAGTCACTGACAGAGACACAGTGTAGCCACTGACAGAGACACAGTGTAGTCACTGACAGACACAGTGTAGTCACTGACAGAGACACAGGGTAGTCACTGATAGACACAGTGTAGTCACTGACAGAGACACAGTGTAGTCACTGACAGAGACACAGTGTAGCCACTGACAGACACAGTGTAGTAACTGACAGAGCCTCAGTTCAGCCACTGACAGAGACAATGTCAGTAAGCCTCAGTGTAGCCACTGAAAGTGCCAACGTAGCCACATTAAAGCCTCTCACAGAACAACATTGTATCTTCATATAAAGGCACTGTAAAGTTAGTTTACTGATAGTTTTAAGGAGATGTGTATTCTGTACCTGGCCCGGCCTGATATGTAAAACACGTTCAGATAATTACCAATACTCCACATACTACAGGTGTGTACATAATCAAGTGATGGAATGCAAGGCCTCATGAATATTAGAAGAAAATATTGTGTTTGCAATATTTGTGACACCTGTATGTACAGCTTTGCTAACAATACCATTTACAAGGGTTATCTAGAGACGCTGCCATCTAACTTGGTTAATTTGTAACAATGTTTGTGTGAGAATGTCTGTGTCTCACCTGGTCAATTACAGTTTTCCTTGGAATGCCTGTGTCTCACCTGGTTAATTACAGTTTTCCTTGGAATGTCTGTGTCTCACCTGGTTTATAACAGTTTTCCTGGGAATGTCTGTGTCTCACCTGGTTTATAACAGTTTTCCTGGGAATGTCTGTGTCTCACCTGGTTAATTACAGTTTTCCTGGGAATGTCTGTGTCTCACCTGGTTAATTACAGTTTTCCTGGGAATGTCTGTGTCTCACCTGGTTAATTACAGTTTTCCTGGGAATGTCTGTGTCACCTGGTTAATTACAGTTTTCCTGGGAATGTCTGTGTCTTACCTGGTTAATTACAGTTTTCCTGGGAATGTCTGTGTCACCTGGTTAATTACAGTTTTCCTGGGAATGTCTGTGTCTCACCTGGTTAATTACAGTTTTCCTGGGAATGTCTGTGTCTCACCTGGTTAATTACAGTTTTCCTGGGAATGTCTGTGTCTCACCTGGTTAATTACAGTTTTCCTGGGAATGTCTGTGTCTCACCTGGTTAATTACAGTTTTCCTGGGAATGTCTGTGTCTCACCTGGTTTATAACAGTTTTCCTGGGAATGTCTGTGTCTTACCTGGTTAATTACAGTTTTCCTGGGAATGTCTGTCTTACCTGATTAATATAGTTTTCCTGGGAATGTCTGTGTCTCACCTGGTTAATTACAGTTTTCCTGGGAATGTCTGTGTCTTACCTGGTTAATTACAGTTTTCCTGGGAATGTCTGTGTCTCACCTGGTTAATTACAGTTTTCCTGGGAATGTCTGTGTCTTACCTGGTTTATAACAGTTTTCCTGGGAATGTCTGTGTCTCACCTGGTTAATTACAGTTTTCCTGGGAATGTCTGTGTCTTACCTGGTTAATTACAGTTTTCCTGGGAATGTCTGTGTCTTACCTGGTTAATTACAGTTTTCCTGGGAATGTCTGTGTCTCACCTGGTTAATTACAGTTTTCCTGGGAATGTCTGTGTCTTACCTGGTTAATTACAGTTTTTCCTAGAGATGCACATATCTCACCTGGTTAATTACAGTTTCCCTTGGGATGCCTCTTTCTCAACTAGTCAGCAAACCTGATTAACCTCAGAATTCCCTAGTCATAGTTTTCCCTAACCTAGATCACACAGTTTCTCTGAAGAAAATTGTAAATGTTCTCTGGTGATACTTTAAACTTCTTTCATCTTCTAATGCTTATAAGCGATGAATTCTGATTTATCTGTTCTGACAATTTTTTAATTTAAACTAAACTCAAACTTCAGATCTTTATTCATTAGAATACAAGAATATCAAGGTATTCTTGATAAAGTATATAACTTGTGTAAACAAACATGTAAACAAATAAATATTTCAGATATGCTTTAGCTTATTTTGTGACAAATGAAATAAAAATGATAAATCTATTAGCAAATGCGGTGAAACTTGTAAGTGAGTAGGATTCTAATGATAACCAAGTCAAACTTTTAAGCCTAGATTTGAAGATACTGTAGTAATGGCTTGACTAACCATGCTTTAGGAGTTAGTTGTCAGGTAAATGTTTAGATTTTCTTAATGATTATCATTAATACCTTAACATTGATAGATATCTAGCTATAAATATATTATATACTTAAAGCTTTCCTGGCTAACAAGCTTGTTTTCATTACCAATTCAATGATATATGTAGATTCTGTATCTATAATAAGTACACTACTGGTTGTGATTCTATTTCTAGGGTAGTTGAAATTTCAGTTAGGAGGTTTAATTCTACTATCTCCATCAAACAGCTGTGGCTTTTATATAGAATTTTGCAGAAAATTTTTACTGAATTAAGTATTTATGCTGTGTGTTTTATTTTTATCACAACCGTATAAATTTGGTTACTTTATCTAAATTAAACCTTGTACATTTTATGGCTCCAGTAGCTAAACTAAGATTTTTTTAATCAAGATGATACTGATAGTATTATTATGGAGTTAGCCCGTTTCCCTGTTGATGCTGTAGGTTATCATTTTGATTACAACCTCGGTAGAAAAGACCACTTTTTTCTACATTTGAAATCTACATCATTGACGATGTGTAAACAAGCTGAATAGTACGTTATTTACAACAGATATGTCAGGGCATAGATCCCATCGCAAATGCAGGCTGAGTGTACTTTATAGAGGAAAACATCACTGCAGCTGGCTACATGGTAGTGAAGGTTGTACTTTAAGGAGAAAGTTTTGTTTTTTATTAATTGCTACAATAAAATAGGCCATTATACATTCAACACCTGCCTGCTTTCCAATATGCACCAGGTGGGATGTTTGCATGTATACTCTAATAAAAAGAATAAAAAAAGCAAAAAAAAAAAAAAACAGATTTTAGGTATGTGGTTTTATTGAAGGAAAACAGATTCTGATATCAACATGTGAAATAGAAAATATGTAGCAGTAGCTTGTACAGAAATCTGATACCAGGGATTTACAAGTTTAGGTCAAGGCTGTGGACATTTATGTAACTGCCTGGATTATCATCTCCACTCAGGGGAGATAATTAATGCTTCTATTCTTGTTAAATTCCTGGGGAAAAATTCACTTTCTGGCAAACAGATAGGTGCCTGTGCTTGTATAAAGTATAATGGAACTGGTCAGATCTGTAAAGTTGGTGTTGTGATGTTATCTTTTTAATGAAATAGGAAGGGTTTTAGGTATACTTGATCAGTAACTGTTGATCAGGAAATGGTAGCCCATGAAAACGTTTCCAATTTTTTGTTCACAGTTTTGGAAATATATGGTGGGCCATTGTTTCCACACAGGCATAGCTTAAAGGTTGCAGAAAATATGTGTGTCACAGGAAATACCACTTGTGGCATAAATTCCAGGAAAAGCTTGGAATACAGGGAAATTCTTGTTTCCAAGTTCTTTAGTTTAAGGATAAATGCTAGCCTCCAAGAAGTCAGATGGTTACTGAGGAAAAATGTTTGCCTCCAGAGAGTCTGTTTTGGAACCAGAAAAAAGTATTTGTGTCAATGACATGCTTTGGTCACAGTAAAATCATCAAATGTCTCCAAGCAATGTTTCCCTAGGGCAGGGAGTCAGATGTTTACAGGGAATATGTTTGAAAGAAAAATGCTATATAAAGAGATAACTGCATGTTTTAATAGACTTTTCATACTAAAACAACACAATGTTATCAGTTTTTATCAGCACTGTTTATGTATTTTCAGGCTCATGCCCAGAGGGAAGAGAGCTACATTAAGTTACAGCAGCATCGCCAGCTTCTTAAGGAGGACAAACACAACCTCAAAGAACATGAGCGTGAGAATATCCGAATAATGAAGATTGCTGAACGGTCAGATACAGCCCTAACAGAGACGTATTAGAATGAAGTTCCACCATCCCACAGACATGTTTTAGGTTTAATACAGGTGTAATTTGTCGTCAGAGGTACCTCCTCAAAAGACTGTCCACTGTGTATTTTGTGAGATGTATGGAAGAAAGAATTCTGTGCTGGTCTGTGTAGTCTTGTGTGACTTTCTGCTGAAATGAAAGGATATAGCAGGTCCATGACAGTTTAAGAGTGTAATGGGTGTAGGGTCTGTAAGGTTAACCAAATAAGAGTTGTGTCACTGAGCACAGACCTTTAACTTAATTTAAGGCTAGTGGTGTGTTGTGGATCACATGAAGACAGACTCATGTTAGCTATAGTCTGCCTTCTATTTAAGATTATGGAAAAGAAATTTCACAGTTTTGTTTTTATAGACCTCAGATTAGTAATACATATCCTATCATTGTATACAATGTTGAAGTGGTTTTCTCCGTGTGGCCAGTCTATGTATGGACTTCACCATCAACTAATAATCCTGTTAGAATTGTATCAAGGCTGCATGTCCTTCATTTCAGTCATTCTCTCTGATCTGTTTCATAAATAGTGAAATTGATACCATTTACCACATGTCATTTTCATATCTATATACATGTCCAGGAATATTGTCATCTTTATGAACAACATACTATATAAGGCATTTTATTTGGTTCCTGCCAACTTTGAAATATTAGTATATGTGTGTGCAATAGCTATAGCATTAATTTTTGGTTTCATAACCAAATGATGGTAATATGGTCAAGAAGGGATAGGGTATGACAACTTAGGTATAAGTCTCCCTGTCATATTGTACAGATGCCGATAACCACAAAGGTGTGATTGTTTTTCACCTTAAATTACACAAAAATCTGTATTTCTCCTCCTCATAGACTAGAACTTCTTGTTTTCGATTTGTTTCATACATAATATTTTAAGAAAAAAAAAAGTAATTACACATATTGATAAAATACTTTTGTAGATTTCTCTTGGCTATTTAAAGTGGGCAAGCTATTAAGAATCACAAAATGTGTTGAATTGGAACTCTTTTTCATTGGAGATTTGATAATACAGAACACTAGCATGGGAAATTCTCAAATTAGTATCTGCCAGAACTTTGTGGGATAGGATAGGAGAAGGCATACTGTGGATGGCAAGTAAAACTGGTCTGTTATGGTCCTAGTTCTTTAGTTGTAGTCTGGTTGACATGCATTTGTAACTGATAGACTACTGGGAACATGGCCCAATACAGCTTTCTGGAGTGGCATGGGAGGGTATCAAATACCTTGTCACTTGAATATCTACTTTTTATTTGATGAGTATTGTAACTTTAGACCTTGATAAAACTACTGAGGATGTATTTGGTTATAGTTTCAATAATCCTAGCTTAGACTGGGAAAGATTGTCTCTTCTCCACAGGGTTCTGTTATAGTATGTCAATAAACACACCCATCACAATACCACTTGTTAGAGAGGAACTACATCATATGTCAGATGTTTATAGAATGACAAGGTTACTTGGAAATTTATCCATAATTAATAAATAAATGATCGAGGATTGTCCCTCATTGTCTTGAAGGTTGTGGAGGGAGGATGTGTGTGGAAATGTGCAGATGTGACATTTGAATGAGTGAATATATAAAAATAAAATGTAATCTACATTTATCTGTGATATCGTCTGTGATAGATAATTTGTGTTATACTGCTGTCTTAATCTATATATTTATATATATAATGTGTAACATATTGTTTTAGATATAATTTTTTCTCTCAGAGGAAAAGAAATTGAACATATTTGCTGTAATATGACCAGAAATGCTTCTTTGAAGGTTAAACCACTATTTACTCAGTAAAAGCACCTATTTACAAAAAGATCTGAAGGCAGATGTGACATCTGTCATTTAATGAGATTAATCAATTTTAGAAATGACAAAATCTGAGAATGCATTCAGTGTCTAGACCTACATTTGATACTGAGATGTTAGAGCTGATGATGTCTGTAATCTAGACGTACAGTTTGATACAGAGATATTACAGCTGATGATGTCTGTAATCTAGACGTACAGTTTGATATAGAGATGTTACAGCTGATGATGTCTGTAATCTAGTCGTACAGTTTGATATAGATATTACAGCTGATGATGTCTGTAATCTAGATGTACAGTTTGATATAGATGTTACAGCTGATGATGTCTGTAATCTAGACGTACAGTTTGATATAGATGTTACAGCTGATGATGTCTGTAATCTAGATGTACAGTTTGATATAGATGTTACAGCTGATGAGCTGACGTACAGTTTGATATAGATGTTACAGCTGATGATGTCTGTAATCTAGACGTACAGTTTGATATAGATGTTACAGCTGATGATGTCTGTAATCTAGACGTACAGTTTGATATAGATGTTACAGCTGATGATGTCTGTAATCTAGACGTACAGTTTGATATAGATGTTACAGCTGATGATGTCTGTAATCTAGACGTACAGTTTGATATAGATGTTACAGCTGATGATGTCTGTAATCTAGACGTACAGTTTGATATAGATGTTACAGCTGATGATGTCTGTAATCTAGACGTACAGTTTGATATAGATGTTACAGCTGATGATGTCTGTCGTACAGTTTGATATAGATGTTACAGCTGATGATGTCTGTAATCTAGACGTACAGTTTGATATAGATGTTACAGCTGATGATGTCTGTAATCTAGACGTACAGTTTGATATAGATGTTACAGCTGATGATGTCTGTAATCTAGACGTACAGTTTGATATAGATGTTACAGCTGATGATGTCTGTAATCTAGACGTACAGTTTGATATAGATGTTACAGCTGATGATGTCTGTAATCTAGACGTACAGTTTGATATAGAGATGTTACAGCTGATGATGTCTGTAATCTAGACCTACAGTTTATTTATGATAGAGTCCTCTCTCAGCTCTTTTGTCAACATTAATATGAACAATTTGCTCATTGAATATCAGAAATTATTCTCTTTATTTATCTATCAGATAAGAATTATACCTCGAATGTGACAGATGTTTATGTAAGTGTGTATTTGTGTATGGTGTATTAGTTGTAATGCCTTGTACATCAAGCCAAAAATATTTCCGTGTGTTGACCCAGATCTATTTATCTCACTTATCTGTACAATTTGTGTTAATTAAGTCTCTTTGATAACGGTATATATCATCATTAGAGACTGACCATTCTACCCGGGGGTTAAAGTCCCTGATACTTATACTTTGGGCAAGGTTAGTGGTGATGTTATGGGTGATTTTAATTCTTGGTGATATAACATTTAGGGATGACATTTAGGGGATCAAATAATTGGCAAATCAATGCAACCTTAGATTTTTCAGAATATTTAACAAAAATATGTGAAATGTCAGATTTTAGATAGCACTACAAAACTGTGTTAAACAAGTATATAGTTAACCTTTATTTAACTTTGTGATAGATTCTCTAACACTGCTCCGCATCATCATACACAAGCATTGTTTTATCACATTAAGTTTAATTATATCCTGATCTTCACTTCATGTTGTGATTGTAACTGATGATAATCCATGTACCACTGTAAAATATGTTCACACTAAAAATCAGTTGTTCTTTTCTTTTTTTTTATATATGAGGAAAAATATTTGTGTTTTTAAGAATCAATGTTGTTTAAAGTATTCTTTCTTTAAAGTTTTTACATAGATTTTTCATCTTTTTATAATCTTCCACAATTGTATTCAACTGTGGCTGTGATAATGATATAAATGTGCCTTGCCTGTTGTGTATAGTTGTGATTGTGTTGTGTGTTCATTGTATACCTACAGCAATGCCAGGTATGCTAGATCTGATTTTTTATCACAGTATCTTGTCAGTCCGATTATTGTTTTCAACTGATTTTGAAATTTATTTGTATTCTCATTTTCTCAGCAATTTCTTACCTTTCTGATCTGAAATGTTGATTTTGACACAAGATACAAAAATAGGGATCTATATTACAGTGGTGCTGTATGTAAACAGGTATTGGTACCAACATCTGTTGAATGCACTATTAGAATATTAACCAAACTGACACAATGATAATAACTATTTTCCAATTGTTGGTGCCTATTGAAATATAATCAGCACAATATTGTAAAAGGTTTATTTGATGTATATTTCAATGGTTTAGATTTCATGGTAATATGTATACCACAGTATTTGGAACCGAAAATTTTTTTGTGGAAATGGCAAACCTGGTTATATTTTTGTTATTAGTCATATTTTCAAGTATAAGTTTTTTCTTAATTTTTCTGTTCTCCTTGAAAACAGAAAGCCAAGAAAAAGAACTGCTGAAAAAGGAAACAAATAGTGAATACAGCATCTTACTGGTGCTATTTGACAGCCTTGTACATTCTATAACTGATTATTGTACTATGTGGTAGAACATTCACACTAACACAGGTCAGATTTATACCTCACTTCTGAATTTTCTGAAACTGAGCTCGTATCACTTTAGTAGCTCAGTGTTAGGATTTAGGTACAGAGAATATCATATTGAAGTATTGTCAGCCTGTAGGTGATATTATTTTGTATGGTATCAGATTCATAGTGTTAAACCATTTGTGCCAACATCACTTATACAGTGGTTGAGAATTTACATTTCCATGTATCTTTTGTGACTCTTTAAGCAGATTTTAGCAGATTTAGTTTCATTCCAAATGATTAAAAGTCTAAAATTAATGTCCATCATCATTACACACAAATTAGCTTGGTAAGTTATGACTTTGAGTAAGCTGTTGATACGCGTCAGATGTCCATTTTTAGTCCACCATAAAGCCTAGTATTTATTTCACTGCTTCTAGCTTGTTACATACAGATGTTTTATTTCCAAGGCTGGTGATGTGAATATGAGGGAAATAAAGTTATATCAGTATATGCATTTGTGATAAAATTATGGAAAATTGAATATGAAATAAAGAATTTATTGAACATATATGATTCATCTTTGTTTTTTTAATTCTGGTTTTGTGAAAATTGTATTTCAAAAAGTTTTACTCATTTTTTGTGTATGAGAGAAAATATACCACATCTCTTGAAAGGTATGGTTGTTTATATTTACTGTTTGTTACCATGGAAATATCAGAAAATTATAACTGCATCATTTATCCATGTTTTTGTGATCTGATTAATCAAAATATTTATTGTGCTC